CAATGGCTGGTACATTTTTGTGCCCAAATACGTGTGGTTTCGCCAAGATCGCCGCTTTAGAAATATCGAGGGAAATCCCGATCGTGCATCGAAGAGAGAGAGACGAAAGCAGCTCCCAATATCAAGCTCGTCTAAAGGCTAACATTTTCAAAGAATTTAGAAATACATTTGGCAATTGTTTGGAGAAATTCAGAGTTGAATCTTTACAATTCCATAAGAGGCTTCCTGGGTTAAGGAATTCTATAAACAAATGGAACTTCAGGAAAGCTTGTGAGAAGCAACGATACCTTGAAGCGTTCTCTCGAAAGCAATGGCTATCTCTATCACTCAGCCGTCAAAATGAGCACTCATTGAAGTCAGCTTTTTTAAAGGGAAAATCCAAGGAGAATCTTGCTATTATAGCAACTGGAGAGGTCAATAGGTTGAGAGGTAAACAAGCACTAAAACCAACAAGCACAAATATCAGAAATGCTGCTAAAGCCATCTATGACAAGGTATCCCCACTATTCGAGAAAACATTTAATACCAGTTTTGCAGAAGGCCTTTTAAAAGTCCCAGGACTTGATCTACAACAAAAAACAGTTAATGAAAAAAGGGCTGATAGAAGAAATCAGTACCGTAGTACAAAAGAAAACATTGAAAAACAAATGGAGGAAACTGCCTTTTTAAGGTAAGCAATAAAATTCATTGTAATAACAAATAGCTTATAGCAGAGGACAAAATGATTTGAAAAGTGTAGAAATTTGAAACATAGGAAGTAATCATGGCAAGCAAGGAGTGAAGTGTCAGTAAACTTCAAGATATAAAACATGAAACACAATTATATAATAAATGTACTGTAATAGGTTCACTAAAATATTATGTTGCATATAGATATAATCTCACCTTAAATTACTTTATAATAAGTAATGTCCTCTTTTTTATCAGATGCTTTGGTGGTGGAATGTCCTTAAATTCCTTTCAGCGTGGAAGAATGKCATTGTCTTTTGAAACAAAGGCCTCTGCAAGGAAACGAAAAGCAAAAGATGATGAGTGTCAAAATTCTAMACCAAAGAAACGTCACACAGGTACAGTAGTATAGCAATATTATTGCTACTGTAATATCATATACATGTACATGYATATTTTCTGTTTTATTGTCTACATGGATAATGTATTACATGTATTATGAAATGTATTATTCACATGCNTTCAGAATGTTGCATATCATGATATCATGAGATTCTGCCATGGGGATAGCCCACTACGGGCATTTGAGGCTGGGCAACAAAAGGGTGGCAATTATTTCTGTGCTGCATGTGGCATACATGCTATTATGACACCAGACATTGCCCATGCCCTAAACTGTAGAGTAGAAACACTCCAAGAAAAACAGTGTGCCATAATTGAAGGAGCTGTGGCCAAGAGGAGGTCCTTATTATTCAAACCCAAGCCCATGAATGACCTAAGTAAGGAAGAAATAGAGAAAGAACTTGAATCAAGGGGAGTAATTATTGAAAGCAATATTGGAAACAAAAAGTCTGATGTGCAAAATGTGCTAACTGAAAAAATGTGTGGAAAGCAAAGAGTTCCAGCCCTCCTTTATAATACACCAGAAACCHCTCTTGAAGAAATTTTCCTGGGCCGCTATGAAATCCTTCCATGTGAACCCCTACATGACATAGGCCATCACATAGAAAATGTCCTTACAGAATTACCTTGTCATCTAGAAGACGCTGAAGCTAAATTAATTAATGAATGTATAGAGCTTACTCTTGGAGGAAAGGAAAGCAAGAGAACCATTGATTATAGAGTTGCCCTTATAAAGACAGCTGCTATGGCTCACCAGTCTAACATCATGTCAACAAAGACATTGTCTGTCCTTGATACCTTAATAAACATGCAAAAAAATCCTGTACTCATCGGATGAAAAGCGCTCTCCCTCACTTATTCTACGATATCTTAATCAATCATGGCATCACACCATTCTTCTCAAGACCATAATCAAGAAACCCAAAAAGCTCACTCTACGAAAAATGTTTGGTGTGTACTTCCATAATTTGTCCACCCATGCAGGCCTTATGCTGAGGTTAATTTCTGGTCTTGCAACCAATGCTGAAGATCAAGAGCGAGTTTTCAACTCAMTCAAAAGAATTACCAAGCAGACCAGTAATTACAATCCAGCACAAATCATCAYAAATTTATTGGTTCGTCTTCAAGCCGAAAAGGAGATGGGACTACAAGAGGATGATGTCTGCCGACAGCAATCTAACATAAACAACCTTGCTAAATCCCTACCACAGCAAGTCAACACAAGTATTCCCAAAGCCATCATTAAGAAGCATAGCAGAGAATGGCAAGCACATCTCCAACAAATAAGTGATTTTCTGCTTGAAGGTGAAGGTGTTTGGTGGACCCAGAATGATGACTTTGTAGAATTTCATGATGTCAGCCATCAACCTTCTCCTACAGTAGGTCCTAAACTCCATCACTTCAGATCAAGCTCACTAAAACTTGAGGCTGTTTTACTAGAAGAGGCTTGGCAAGAGTGCATCGTAAGTAAGACAGTTATACCAGCTCACATAATCCGAATTGACAACGATGATGACACAACAACTCGATTGGTTACTAATTTTTTGACCAATATGCCTGTTCTTATCACTGAAAGATCCAACAACATACCAAGTTCTAGTTCAGACAATCAAGAAACTACACACGACTCACTACAAAGCCAAAATATCCTTACTTACACTCCCAATGTCAACCAAGAGCCAATTGACACATCTTTAGAATTACAAGATATAGAACAAGAGCCTGACTGTTATGACGATGAATATGAAGATGAAATTGTAGATTTGTACACAAAACACGATGAAAGCATGMATTTTCAAGACAGCATACTGCCATCGCCATCAACCAAGAATAATGATATGACTCATCTTCATCTGATTTCTTTAGGAACCAAGGACCATCTCCGACTTCCTGTGGTTTGGCATCAGCACTCTTTTTCTAAGATATGCGCTATAACGGTGAAAACTAAGCAAGCTGACATAAAATAGCATTTTCATTGTGAAAAGACCAAAGAAACTCACCCTAAACATTGCTGTTGAAGTAAAAAAAGACTTATTACGTGGGCTTCCTGTGGAAGTCCACGTCTTAAAATGCAACNCTCTACAATTGATTTATAATTGATAATTTTTTTTTGTGACAGAAGGTACTGAAACTACATGTACACTTGAGGCTCTACATAACACAGAAGTGAACACAGACTACCCACATGATTTACATGATGATGGTAAAATTATAATAATTTCATTTTTATATCGGTTTAAATCTTTCATCACGCTATAATAATAATACAAGACATATTACATGCAGATGGATAATATCAAATTATAAGCATAATAGAATGTACTTAACATACAATAAAGCAATTAATAATTATTATATTTGAATAGCATAGCAGTGGTAATCAATGTCATTTATGTCTTTATTTCAAGCTTGTGCAGCGAATGAAGCTACTTCATCCAACATGCAATTAGATACTGACATGCCTGATGAAGTAGGATACCTTCCTAAAATACCTAACAAAGAAATATCACAACCTGAAATACCAGAAAGAAAGAGAAGGCGTAATTTAGACAACATGCCTAGAAAAAAGCTATGTACAAGTCATCAGGCTCTTAAAACCAAGACTGCTAAGGCAGTCGAGATGGTACTTGGCAGAACAAATGATGTAGATGTCTTTGATAAAATGAAATACGAAGTGACAAAAAATCCTCAATCAACATACCACATAATGCGCTATGAAACATCCTTTGCTAAGGTTCAAGCTCTAGTGCTAAGAGAACATTCGGAAATAAATAAAAAAATCAAAGAATTGGACTACCAAAAGAACAAAAACATCCAAGAACTTCTTCAAAGAAAAAAAATTGCAATTCAACTCCTAACCTCATGGACATAACTGTACATCTATAGAGTATTTTCATTTTATTTTTTAAGTCTAACTGATCAGAAAGATATCACTATACTTGGCATGTGCAACAGAGATAGATATATCACTACCTGGCATACCAAACTGCTACGTATTTAGTGCAGCCTATAATTATAAACTTTGGCTCTATTGATTTTTATTGTCTCTAGACGTGACTATTATGAATTGCATTACACATACAGTCTTTGTTTCACAGGTTTATCAATACCACTTTAATACTTTAGGATCAAAGTATACCTTATTCTAAAGTAAGTAACAGTTTATGTAAGCTATATCGACAAAGTTTCCTTAAATTAAGGGTCTGGCATGCTATGCCTGGAGCAGAATCAGAGTATACAAGACAAACGGTAACATTACCTTATTTCTGCACAAGTGCACTTGCTCTTTATCTACGAATAAAATCAACAAATAAATTATGATACATAGCACCAGAGCTAGAATGAGTGCATGCCTATACATTATAGTGGGTGATCAATTTCAAGTCACTTAGATCAACTGTTAATCACATGTACATGTAGGTATCAAATGAAGGCCAAAACATAAAATATATGTACCATCAGTACATTCTACTTCGAAAAGATCTTCAAAAAGATCAAATTATGTGATATACATCGAAGGCTAATTAACTAAGTTGTACATAATTGTATTTAGTTCAAGGAAATTAATATAGTCTACAGATTATAATAATAACTGCAGTAATCAAATTTAACTTAAGCATTTATTTATTCGTATTTATTTATTATAAGTTAAATTAATTTATGATTGATTGACTGATTTGTGTGTTCGTTTATTCGTTCGTCCATTTATTTATGTATTTATTTATTTATGTAAATACAGCCTTTTGCAAAAATTATGAGAATTGTTGAAATATCTAAATATCATAATATCAAGTGCATGATCCCGCGCGATGCCCTTAGTCCCTTNCAAAATGGCTGACAGACGGCGGCAAAAAGTTGTCTCGTTTCAAATGGTTCTAAAATGTAGCTAAAATGCTTTAAAGAGCTGAAAATCTTACAAAATCAACTGATTACCATCCAAAAGACATGGATTGAGGTATATAATTCAAGATTAGCGGATGATTCGTGCAGAAATGACTGGGCATTTTCTACTGCCGACTCGAGAGCAGTTCTTCTTCGTCACACAAGTGTGTTCGATGTCAAACACAAAATCTTCAAAAATAAGAAATCGCATGGATATTTAAGGTTCATATTTTGACAGAAAACAATCATTCGATGGAATAAAGCATATCAAACCTCATCTGAAAAATATTGATGCCATTTTGTAAACTAACTATGTGTTTGAATTTCGAAAACTGCACGTGTGAGCTTTACTGAACTCTGTATACAAAATCTATATTGTGTATGAAGCATTTTAATTCTCTATTGTTTGTTTTGATGATTGTTTAACTTGAAAAACTTAGACAAATCCAAAAATATGAACTGTCATTAGAAGGCTAAGGTACACCTTTATGATGGCACAGAACACCAGATTTACAAATTAATGAAAAACACCAAATACAAAAGAACAGAAACACAAGATACAGATACATGATTCAAATGATCAAAACATTATTCAAAGTTATACTGCCAAGACTGTACCGTTTCTATTGTTTATGTGACATATATGACCTATCAGATATTTTGAATAATATAGACGTTCTTGAGCGTAAAGTAGCCTGTGTACATCCGTTTCTGACCCCTCAAAAAATCGGGGAGAGATTTTTTGAGGGGTGAGAAACGGATGTACACAGGCTAAGCGTAAAGTCGAGCTAGTTATTTTGGAAAACTGAGAAAAAAGACATTGTATCCAAAGAATTTACTTAGAGTTCAGTTCGGTAAAAAATTATGATGTAATAAATTGATAACATATTAACTTAATTCTGTCTTGACTTATTACAAACAAAGACTATCTTGTTAAAATGAAACACCATTGCCACAGGAAGCCCACGTAAGCGATCCATGATCGTCTAGTTCGAGTAATGGCCAAGAGATTAAGTAGCTCATTCAGAGTCACACGAGTGAACAACACTTCTTGTGGTATATCTGTGTATACGTGTGGTATACCTTTGTAGGCTAGGTTACCTAGGATGGTAGTGCGTGGTGATCGAGAAGGATAGTAGTTTACAATGTTGTATTTTAAATCTTTGTTAATCTGTGTAATCCTTGATTTTTGAGCAAGTAAATACACTACAAATTGGCGACGAGGATAAAAGCAAGAACGTAAGATGAATTTTAACAAGTTTAATTTACCACCGCTCAATTTGGAAGCGACGAATTTAGCCGATGAATGGAAACACTGCATGGACGCGTTTGAAAACTATCGAATTGCGACAAAACTTAACAAAGAAGAAGATGATGTACAAAGAGCGACGTTATTACATTTAGCAGGGACTGGAGTGCAACGATTGCTGTCTGGACTGCCTGGAAGTAAAGTGAATTATGTTGATGTTAAAACTGCCTTGACGACTCATTTCCAACCGAAGAAGAATAAATGGGCTGAAAGATACAAATTTAGAAAGCGAGCACAGAAAGAAAATGAGTCTTTGGATAATTTTATTGCAGAACTGAGAGTTTTGAGTCTCTCGTGTGATTTTGGAGTGTCTGTGAACAACAACATTATTGGTCAAGTGATGGTTACTTACGTGAAAAATTACTACAACAAGGGGATACCCTAACACTTGAGAAAGCACAAACCCTAGGAAGGGCGATTGAACATGCTAAGAAAGATACGGTACTGCTTGGAGGAGAGAAAACTACAAGTCTACAAGAGAAATCTGTTGTTCATCAAATCAAGAAAACATTGCCGAACTCCAACAGCAAAAGAAAGAACTGTTTTCGTTGTGGAAGAGATGATCATTTAGCAAATGATGAGNCAAGAAACTACACAAGACTCACTACAAAGCCAAAATATCCTTACTTACACTCCCAATGTCAACCAAGAGCCAATTGACACATCTTTAGAATTACAAGATATAGAACAAGAGCCTGACTGTTATGACGATGAATATGAAGATGAAATTGTAGATTTGTACACAAAACACGATGAAAGCATGAATTTTCAAGACAGCATACTGCCATCGCCATCAACCAAGAATAATGATATGACTCATCTTCATCTGATTTCTTTAGGAACCAAGGACCATCTCCGACTTCCTGTGGTTTGGCATCAGCACTCTTTTTCTAAGATATGCGCTATAACGGTGAAAACTAAGCAAGCTGACATAAAATAGCATTTTCATTGTGAAAAGACCAAAGAAACTCACCCTATACATTGCTGTTGAAGTAAAAAAAGACTAATTCGAGTAATGGCCAAGAGATTAAGTAGCTCATTCAGAGTCACACGAGTGAACAACACTTATTGTGGTATATCTGTGTATACGTGTGGTATACCTGTGTAGGCTAGGTTACCTAGGATGGTAGTGCGTGGTGTATTTTAAATCTTTGTTAATCTGTGTAATCCTTGATTTTTGAGCAAGTAAATACACTACAAATTGGCGACGAGGATAAAAGCAAGAACGTAAGATGAATTTTAACAAGTTTAATTTACCACCGCTCAATTTGGAAGCGACGAATTTAGCCGATGAATGGAAACACTGSATGGACGCGTTTGAAAACTATCGAATTGCGACRAAACTTAACAAAGAAGAAGATGATGTACAAAGAGCGACGTTATTACATTTAGCAGGGACTGGAGTGCAACGATTGCTGTCTGGACTGCCTGGAAGTAAAGTGAAKTATGYTGATGTTAAAACTGCCTTGACGACYCATTTCCAACCGAAGAAGAATAAATGGGCTGAAAGATACAAATTTAGAAAGCGAGCACAGAAAGAAAATGAGTCTTTGGATAATTTTATTGCAGAACTGAGAGTTTTGAGTCTCTCGTGTGATTTTGGAGTGTCTGTGAACAACAACATTATTGGTCAAGTGATGGTTACTTACGTGAAAAATTACTACAACAAGGGGATACCCTAACACTTGAGAAAGCACAAACCCTAGGAAGGGCGATTGAACATGCTAAGAAAGATACGGTACTGCTTGGAGGAGAGAAAACTACAAGTCTACAAGAGAAATCTGTTGTTCATCAAATCAAGAAAACATTGCCGAACTCCAACAGCAAAAGAAAGAACTGTTTTCGTTGTGGAAGAGATGATCATTTAGCAAATGATGAGWAATGTCGTGCTAAAGCTCGTCGTGCARKAAATGTAAAAGAGTTGGCCATTATGCAAAATGCTGCAGATCTGGTGCTGAGAAAAAGGAGAGCAAGGTGAATGCTGTAGAGCAGACAAGCGACGAGACAGATGAGTATAGTTATGAATATGTTTACTTTGCTAATAATGATGGAGGGATAAACTTTACTATTGATGCTGAAATTAATGGTAAACATTTAGAAATGATCATAGACACTGGTTGTGCGAGAACTCTGGTTCCAGAGAAATAGGTGACAGAAAACATTAAATGTCCTATTAAACAATCAGCAGCCAAATTTACTGCATTTGGAGGCGGAGAACTAAGATGTGTTGGGAAATTGGAAGCTGCACCTAGACTCGCTGAAAAGCCTGTGCAAGTACTTTTTTTGCCCATTACAGAATAAAGTATGCACGAATGGTCCCACTGTACTTGTCACAGATGGAAGAATTAGAGTCAAGTGAACCAGAGATCTACAATGAATTCCTTTCTGGGAATTTCTGCGTAAACAAGAACGAAATTCCTTTCTGTGCCATTGGTCCAGATCATGCTATAGAGCATGTAAATAATGTAATGAAGATCACAGGAGGCCTTAAGGGTTTAACACAGTAACCAGAAGCCATGGCTAGGTGGTTCCGCGTCTGAAGCACAGAAACTTATGGGTTTAGAGTCAGCACACACAAGAGACCATCACCATGATTTATCTGACTTTGTTATTGCTCGTTACAATACCAATGCCCAAAAGCTTAAAGATGTCCTTCAAGCAAGTAGTCCCTTCTCAGTCGA